CTAATGATGATATAATTTTTTTATTTTTTTTTATAAAGGAGGACGAAAAAATAAAGAAGAAAAAGAAAGGGAATGGGGGTAGAAGAAAAACACACGATCTAACACCTCTCAATGAAAGTACCAATGATGAAGATCGTGTGTTTTGATTGCCGATAAATCGCTAACCCGTGCCTTGAATCGCCGATAGGTGTTTTTTGAGCCACAACCGCACTTCTTGGAACGAATAAAATTGCAATAGAATTTTGGTGGAAAACTAAAGCAATGTAGAAGAACAAAAGTTCAGATTTCTATTCATAAAATTCATGATGAAAAATAACATGGGGGAAGGGGCCTTTATATAGGCACAAAATATATCTTGTCCTAATCTACCTAGGGAATTATTAAAGCAATAAAATATTAGAAATCCTAACTATAATGTAAGATGGAAACTAAATCTCTTGGTGTGCACTCCAAGTAACTCTCTCTCTCTCTTTTCTCTCGCGCACTGCCTCCCTCGCGCGCCACCATGGACCCTTGCCCTAGTCCTCAAGGACTAGGGCACCGCCTTCTCGTGCACGTGCACACCCGCCTGGCGTGCCGCGCACGCATTTATCTGCTATGCCGCCCCCGCGCGCGTGGCTGCCCGCCAGTCTGCACTCCTCGAGGACTGGGGCTTCTTGCCCAGCGCGTGCACCCCCGTCCAGCGTGCTGTGCACGTCCTTGCCCTTGGCTCTGCTCGCACGCACGTGTTCTCCCGTGACACCCAGGTTGCCGCATTCCTCGAGGCATAGGGCTTCAAGCCCCGCGCTTGTTTCCCAGCAGCGCGTATCTCCCGCGCTTGCGCCCGCTGTGCCTATTGCCCGCGCGTGCTGCGCGCCCACGCCTGCGACACCGCGCTCACTAGTCTCGCGCTCTAGTTGCGCGCAGTCATCCTTGCCCGTTGTTGGGCTACTCTCGCGATCCGTGCGCGTCTCCTGCTCCCGGACGTGCGTCTCGCCTGCGACCCGCGCCATTCTCTTGCGTGCATGATAGGCACGACTTGCGGCGTTCTTGAGCTGCCTAGCCACTTCCGTAACAACGCGTCCCAGCGCCCCGCATATGCAGCGCCAGTGTGTGTGTCACCTCTCGGGTGACAGTGCATTTAACCCAGTCCGACCTTGTCCTTTTAGAGGTCTTTGAACCAAATTTTTTTGGTCAAAGTGTATGTTGATCTTTCGAGTCATTGTGTGAATTCCCTAATCAAGGACCCTCAATGTGTGAGGTTGGTCGATTAGTTTCTTTTGCCACATACGAGATTTTCTCGACATGGCGAGATAGTAGTTCTGTATTAATGTGGGGCGGAGCCTTGAGTCTCGGCTGGAGACCGACTCAGTGGAAGGAAATAGTTATTGAGTATCTAGCCTATACATCCTAAACGGCATACGAGATGCTGTTCGTGACGGGGAGGAGAGAGACTTTGTCAGTGGTATCAAACAGAACTGTGTTTTCTAAACGTACCAGATTTTGAGAATAAATGATGATTGTCGGTCCTATCATGATTTTCTCGACCAAGTCAATAGCTTAGCCTAATGGTTGACTCCACCACCAGGACTTGTGAGCATGCATGCCACGTTCTAGCCACGTGATGGAGGGAATGTGTGTGTGATCTCGTGGTATATGTGTGATTTGTGGCGAGTTGCGTGATAGGCAGAACCCTGCCTATATGGAGGTACTGGTTACCTATTGGGACCGAAGGTCCATCAGGGAAAGACCGGGAGGGGTACTTGTCAACGTCCAGTGAGTGTAGTCAAGTTGAGGGCAAGACTATTTGGCAGGGGGAGACCGAGATTCGGAGGGAGTACCCGAAGCTCACGTTTGATGTCCCCTTCTTGTACTCTCTTTACCTTCTAGTTGTTTTGTTTTTGAATTCCGAGGACAGAATTCTTTGTAAGGTGGGTAGAATGTAACGCCCCGTTTAATTATGAATTATTTGGAGATTATTATTATTATTATTATTATTATTATTATTATTATTATTGTTATTATTATTATCATATTAATTGTTATTTTTGCCTTATTGTCTAAATTAATTGAATTTTGAGTATTTATTATTATTCTATTATTTTGCTCGTTCAAGTCATCATATTATATTGTCCAGAAAGATGATATAATGTCCCGTTTGATTTAATTTAATTAAGTCGGTCGGAAACTCAGTTTAAATTGGACTAAGGATCGATTTATATCTTTGCGTATTGACCAAACCGAGCCAAAGTCAAACCGGGGTCAAGCCGGACACTTAGAAATAATTTTCAAGTCATTTGGCCCTAAGAAGCATGCCAGGCCTGCGCAGCCCGCGTCCAGCCCGCATGCCCGCGCG